AATATGTAGATTGCTTTGGGTAGTATCAACATTTTAACAATATTTGTTCTTCCTATCCAGGAGCATAGAATCTTTTTCCCTTTTTTTGGTGTCTTCTTCAATTTCTTTCATAAGCTTTCTATACATTTCAGTGTATAGATTTTTCACCTCTTTGGTTAGATTTATTCCTAGGTATTTTATGGTTTTTTGTGCAACTGTAAATGGATCGATTCCTTGATTTCTCTTTCTGTTGCTTCATTGTTGGTGTATAGGAATGCAACCGATTTCTGTGCATTGATTTTATATCCTGCAACTTTGCTGAATTCATGAATCAGTTGTTGCAGTTTTTTGGTGGAATCTTTCGGGTTTTCCATATAGAGTGTCATGTCATCTTCGAAGAGTGAAAGTTTGACCTCCTCCTGGCCGATTTGGATGACTTTTATTTATTTGTGTTGTCTGATTACAGAGGCTAAGACTTCCAATACTATGTTGAATAACAGTGGCGAGAGTGGACATCCCTGTCTTGTTCCTGACCTTAGGGGGAAAGCTCTCAGTTTTTCCCCATTGAGGATGATATTAGTGTTTGGTTGTTCATATGTGGCTTTTATGATCTAGAGGTATGCTCCTTCTATCCCTACTTTCTTGAGGGTTTTTATCAAGAAAGGATGCTGTATTTTGTCAAATGCTTTCTCTGCATCTATTGAGAGGATCATATGGTTCTTGTCCTTTCTTTTATTGATGTGATGAATCATGTTAATTGTTTTGTAGATATTGAACCAGCCCTGCATCCCAGGTACAAACCCCACTTGGTCGTGGTGAATAATTTTTTTTAATGTATTGTTGGATCCAGCTGGCTAATATCTTGTTGAGGATTTTGCATCCATGTTCATCAGGGAAATTGGTGTATAGTTCTCCTTTTTAGTGGGGTCTCTGGTTTTGGAATCAAGGTGATGCTGGCTTCATAGAAAGAGTTTGGAAGTTTTCCTTCCATTTCCATTTTTTGGAACAGTTTCAAGAAAATAGGTGTTAACTCTTCCTTAAATGTTTGGTAGAATTCCCCTGGAAAGCCATCTGGCCCTGACTCTTGTTTTTTGGCAGATTTTTGATTACTAAGTCTATTTCCCTACTGGTTATGGGTCTGTTTAAATTTTCTATTTCTTCCTGTTTCATTTTTGGTAGTGTATATGTTTCTAGGAATTTGTCCATTTCTCCCAGATTGCCCATTTTATTGGCATTGCTCATAATATTCTCTTATTATTGTTTTTATTTTTGGTGTGTTGGTTGTGATCTTTCCTCTTTCATTCTTGATTTTACTTTTTTGGGTCCTTTCCTTTTTCTTCTTGATCAAACTGGCTAGAGGTTTATCAGTTTTGTTAATTATTTCACAGAACCAGCTTCCGGTTTCATTGATCTGTTCTACTGTTTTTTTGGTTTTGATAGCATTAATTTCTGTTGTAATCTTTATTATTTCCTGTCTTCTGCTGTTTTTGGGTTTTATTTTCTGTTCTTTTTCCAGCTCCTTAAGGTGTAAGGTTAGGTTGTGTATCTGAGATCTTTCTTCCTTCTTTAGGAAGGCCTGGATTGCTATATACTTTCCTCTTATGACCGCCTTTGCTGTCCCAGAGGTTTTGGGTTGTGGTGCTATCATTTTCATTGACTTCCATATACTTTTTAATTTCTTCTTTAACTGCTTGGTTAGCCCATTCATTCTTTAGTAGGACGTTCTTCAGTCTCCAAGTATTTGTTAACTCTCCAAATCTTTTCTTGTGGTTGATTTCAAGTTTCATAGCATTGTCGTCTGAGAATATGCACGGTATGATCTTGATCTTTTTGTATTTACTTAGGGCTGATTTGTGTCTCAGTATATGGTCTATTCTGGAGAACGTTCCATGTGCATTGGAGAAGAATGCATATTCTTCTGCTTTAGGATGAAATGTTCTGAATATATCTGTGAAGTCCATCTGGTTCAATGTGTCATTCAAAGCCATTGTTTCCTTGTTGATATTTTGGTTAGATGATCTGTCCATTGTTGTGAGTGGGGTGTTGAAGTCTCCTACTATTATGGTATTACTATCGATGAGTTTCTTTATGTTTGTGATTAACTGATTTATATATTTGGGTGCTTTCACATTTGGTGCATAAATGTTTACAATTGTTAGGTCTTCTTGGTGGATAGACCCCTTGATTATGATATAATGCCCTTCTGCATCTCTTGATACACTCTTTATTTTAAAGTCTAGATTGTCTGATATAAGTATGGCTACTCCGGCTTTCTTTTGTTGACCATTAACATGATAGATGGTTCTCCATCCCCTTATTTTCAATCTGAAGGTGTCTTTAGGTCTAAAGTGGGTCTCTTGTAAACAGCATATAGATAGATCTTGTTTTCTTATCCATTCTGTTACCCTATGTCTTTTGATTGGAGCATTGAGTCCACTGATGTTTAGAGTGAGTACTGAAAGATATGAATTTATTACCATCATGATGCTTGTAGAGTTGGAGTTTCTGGTGGTGTTCTCTGGTCCTTTCTAATCTTTTGTTGCTTTTGGTATGTATATATATATACATATATACACACATATATATATGTATATGTATATATATACACATATGTATGTATGTATATATATACATGTGTATACATATACACATGTGTGTGTGTGTGTGTGTATATATATATATATATATTTTTTTCCCCATCTTTTCTCCCCTCAGAGAGTCCCCCTTAAAATTTCTTGCAGGGCTGGTTTAGTGGTCACAAACTGCTTTAACTTTTGTTTGTCTGGGAAACTTTTTATCTCTCCTTCTATTTTGAATGACCTTGCTGGATAAAGAATTCTTGACTGCATATTTTTCTGATTCAGCACACTGAATATATCCTACCACTCCTTTCTGGCCTGCCAAGGTTCTGTGGATAGTTCTGCTGCAAACCTGATCTGTCTTTTCTTGTAGATTAGGGACTTATTTTCCCTTGCTGCTTTCATGATTCTCTCCTTGCCTGAGTATTTTGTGAATTTGACTATGATATGCCTTGTTGATGGTCGGTTTTTGTTGAATCTAATGGGAGTCCTCTGTGCTTCCTGGATTTTGATGTCTGTGTCTTTCCAGGTTAGGAAAGTTTTCCGCTAAGATTTGCTCACATAACCCTTCTACCCCTATTTCTCTCTCTTCCTCCTCTGGGACCCTATGATTTTGATGTTGTTCCTTTTGAATGAGTCACTGATTTCTCTAATTCTTAAATCGTGCTCTTTTGCCTTAATCCCCCTCTTTTTTTCTGCTTCGTTATTCTCTATAAGTTTGTCCCGTATATCTCTGATTCTCTGTTCTGCCTCATCCATCCTTGCCACCACTGCATCCATCCATGATTGCAGCTCAGTTATAGCATTTTTAATTTCATTCTGGCTGTTTTTTACTTCATTTATCTCTGCAGAAAGAGATTCTAATCTATTTTCGACTCCAGCAAGTATTCTTATTATCGTGATTCTAAATTCTGGTTCAGACATCTTGCTTGTGTCTGTGTTGGTTAAATCCCTGGCTGTCGTTTCTTCGTGCTCTTTCTTTTGGGGTGGGTGAATTCCTTTGTTTTGTCATTTTGAAGGCAGAAAAGGAATTAATGAGGTAGAAAAATTGAAATTAAAAAAATTAAAATTAAAAAATATTAAAATTAAAAATTAAAAACACACCCACACAAAAATCTAATAGATGATGCTAGATCCTACGTGTGTTTTGGTCTGGGTGTAGAAAGTGGTTTGATAGATTAGAGAAACAAACAAACAAAAAAAAGGGGGGAGAGAGAAAAAAAAGAAATCATTTGAGAATTTGAAAAAATGAATACACTAAAGTAGATAAAATACACAAATGTAGAGAATATAGTAGGAAAAAATTACAGAAAAATATTTTTAATAAAAATTAAAAAGAAATGAATTTTTCACTTTCTGTATTTAAGAAAAAAGAAAAGAAATGAAAGAGAAAAAAGATAAAAAAAGAAAAAAGAAGAAAAAAAAGAAATCATTTGAAAATTTGAAAAAGTGAATACACTGTAGTATACTAAAATAAAATGATGGGAGTGAGATAGAATTTGAAAAAATTTACACAAAAGCAAAAAATATAGTAATAAAAATTAAATAAAAATATTTTTAAGAGAAACTGAAAATAAAAATGAAGTTTTTCTCTTTCTGCATTCAAGAAAAGAATAGAAATGAAAAAGAGAAAAAAAGAAGAAAAAAAGGCAATTGTTTGAACATTTGAAAAGGCGCGTACACTGAAGTAGACTAAAATAAAATGATGGAAGTAAAGTAGAAGTTGAAAAAATTTACACCAAAGTAAAAAATACAGTAATAAAAATTAAAGACAGATATTTTTAAGAAAGATTGAAAATAAAAATGAGTTGTTTCTCTTTCTGTATTCAAGAAAAAGAAAAGAATTGTAAAAGAGAAAAAGAAAAAAAAAGAGAGAGAGAAAAAATTGAATAGATGAACCTGCTAACAGATTGAAGTAGGACTGAAATTGCTTCGTTTTCCCCTAGAATCAGTCCACGTAGCTCTTTATAGTCCAGAAATGAAGCCGGCGGTGAGGTTTGTGTTCTTGAAGAGCGAAGTTGGCCCAGTTGGGCAGGGCTCGTTGTAACAGCTCCGCTCTCCACTAGATGGCGCTGCTAGCCTACGGGGGTGGATTGTTGCAGGGCTTGTTGGTGCGCAGGCGCATGCGCGGGAGCGGGGAGAAATGGCGCCACCCAGCCACCCAGTCTGTTCTCCCGGATCGGCAATTGTGCACCAGTCCTCCGTTTTCAGCTCTCCTCCACTCCCTGCTTTTCCATTCTCCGTGACCAGGCCCCAGGCAGTACCTCTCTCCCAAGTTTTGTCTCAGATGCGGCTGTTTTCCCCGGCCCCTTACTTCCGAAGGACTGTGGCTTTGACCCGCTCCGCCCCTCTGCGGGAAGGTCTCACCGAGCAGTGGCCGAATGAGCAATGGCCGAATGTCGGCTGCACCCAGGAACGCTTGCCGGACCCTGCTGGTGCCAGTGCCGGTGCCCCGAGACTGCGGCCAGGTGTCAGCCCGCCCCCCCAAAAAGATCGCGAGACGGTGTAGCCTCAGCGTTTCAGGGACCGTGGAAAATCACAACACACATCTGGCACCAGGCTTCACCCTCAACGACCTCGTCCCAGCACCAGCGAGTGTGGCCGCCTTCCGGGGTCTGCTGGGACCAGGTGGCCTCAACAGTCTCTACCGAATGTCCTTCCGGCAGTGGAACCGCTTTTCCCCGTGTGGCCCGAGAACCTCCCGGACCCCACTCTGTTCCTGGGGATTCACCTTTCCCACCAGAGCACCGCCAGGTAGGGAGCTGCGGAGTTGCAGCCTTATGCGCTCCCCTTGTTTACAGTCTTAATGGAATTTAAACCGTCTCCTTTCTCCCTTTGTCCCTTTGTCCCTTCGTCCCTGCGGCTGTTTCCAATTTTCCACTTTCTCTCCAGCTGCTTTTGGGGAGGGGTGCTTTTCCTGTATGCTCCCCCCCCCCAGTCTCCATCCTCTCTCCCCCTGCAAAAGGGGTTCCCTACCTTCGGGGCTTCTTGCTCCCCAAGTTCAGCTCTCCGTGCCGCGTATCTGCTGAATTCTGTGGTTCAGGTTGCGCAGATTGTTGTGTTAATCTTCCAATCAGTTTTCTAGGTGTGTAGGATGGTTTAGTATCGGTCTGGCTGTACTTCATGGACGCGAGACACACAAAAAGCTTCCAGGCTGTTCCGCCATCTTGGCTCCTCCCCGATTAACTATGCGTTTGTTAGCAATTTGCTTTTCTTTTTCTGTTAATTACCTATCAGTTTCTTTTTCTAATATTTCATTAACCTTTTTATTATTGAATTTTACAAGTTCTTTGCACATATTTTTGCCACTCCTTCAGAGTTTCTACACTCTCATGACTGCCCATACTTGGCCCTCAGCAATTCATTCAGAAATGTAGGTTCTCTTTTAAGCATTTCTGTGGCACCCGGATCTCTTCCTTTAGTGCTTCCCATAGGTCTGCCTATGTGTGGATAATCCTGTCTTTCCTTAGACTTTAGGCCACTTTGTTGTCCTTACCTACCTTCTGTTATAGGTAAGAGAGTTTGAGAAACCAAATGATTTTGTAGTTTATGTGGATTTTTCCTATTGTTATGTTGAAAGCAATACTCGTTTCCGTTTTTTATTTTGTAGGCAGAAGTGGAGATCCCCCCTATTTTCTCGTAATATTTTAATGATTTTGTTTTTTTTTTTTTAATTTTGATTTCAAACCCATCACCATTAGCTGTGCAAATTCATAGTTTTAGAAAAGATCCATTCACAGAATTAGTTTTGTGTGGAGGAAAAGACATTTTTATTGGACGTCTAGAAATCTATGATGGTATATAACTTTTAATGAATTAATAACTAGTATATGTATATACTTTTCTGACACCTTTTTATTATTTTTTCTGACAGCTTTGATTGACCATTTTTAAATTTAGAATTTGGAAGAATGATACAATGAATGAACACTCACATACTCTTCATCTAGAGTCAACAATTGTTAACATAGTGCCACATTGAAAGATCTTTCTCAATTCATTTCCACACGTGGATACATTTTCTTGCTAAAACATGTGATAGTCAGTGGCAGACATTATGACACTTCATTCCTCAATACTTCTTCAACAAATATTTCGGAACTCAAGGAATGTTCTCTGCATAACCACAATACTATTATTATGTCCAAGAAAATGAACAATATCATAATAACTTTCAATGTCTGGTACATATTCAAATTATCCTCATTGTCTGCAAAATGTCATCTAGAGCTGTATATCTGAGCCAGAGGCTCCCTAACATTGATGCCGAATTTGTGATGTCACTTTTGTCTCTTTTAATTTACAGCAGCCTCTAGCCCCTTTTAAAAATGATACTGATTTCTCAACTCTGACGTTGTAGCCTGAAAGCAGCCATAGACAATACATCAATGTTCCAATAAAACTTTATTAACAAAAACAGGAAGTTCCCTGGATTTGGCCTGTATGCTATAGTTTGGTTACCCTCTCTCTAAAGGCTGGGTTAGATTTCAATTTTTTATGTACTAAAAATGGGATGTTGTAACTTCAACAATGGGATGTATGTATCTCCTGATATTCCTAATGTCAGTTTGCCCACCATCGATGATATTAAGTATGGGCATTAATTCAGATGGTGGCTGTCAGATCTCCACGTTGCAAATGTGCACTTTGGCCCTTGTAATTAATCGGTGATCCAAGAGGTGATTCTTTGGTGCTCTGGTCCCAGCCTGTTCTCCAACACCCTTTCACTCAATGCTTTTAGTGACTATTTATGGGATATTGAAAGAATCATGCTCTTCTAATTCTATCGAATTTTCTGCATCTATTAACTGAGCTTCTAAGTATCACTATGGACTCATGAATATGTTTATCTAAAATATTATACTCATGTACAGTCATTTGATGTTCAAATTGTTACAAAATTGGTCAGTGGGAGCCTCCAGGGAATGTCTTGGAGGGGGAACCACTCTGGGTTTAGATCTTGCCTAGATGAATGGTAAGGATGAAATATTATGTTACGTATAAATGTGCTGTAGCAATATACACCTTTCCCCACAGCTCAACTTATAAAATGTAAAGATGCAGAGACTCGAGTCTCATAGTTCTGATTTTACTCCATCGGATGAAACTTTTTTTTCCCCACATTGAAACTCTGTGAACTCGGGAACTGGATCTCCTTGATCCAGTGCACATGTTTGGAAGGAATTAATCAGTAGGGCTTCAGGAATGGAGAGTGAGTTAAGTTGAGGCATGTATGTATGAATGGAGACCAACTGGTCTACTTTGCCTGTAACCAAAATGTTTCCTGGGGAGAAATACTGTCAGCTCTAAAATCAGGCAAGTCTTGGGCAACTGGCATTAGTTGTTTATTCAACAGGCAGGTATTTGAATATTACTTTCCTCTCCTGTGTTATTTTAGGGAAGTCCTTTGAGGCTGGTTTTCCTTGTTATGTATCATCAACCTGAGGAAGAATCTTTTTGGAAAAAGAGGTTTCTACTGGGGTATTGGGTTAGAGCTCCTGATTATACTGGGAAGGAGATGATGAGAATGCTTGTATGTACCAGAAAACCCAAATTCGCCAGCAGGTGAATGACACACGTTTCCCGCATACTTTTCTCCCACAGTGGTGCCAAGGAGAGTTATTTTTAATACTCTTTGCCCCAAAGAGGACGATTCAGTGTTTTCTTCACTTTCTAAGAGACAAGTTCACCAGGGTTAGCTGTTCATTATAATTCTCCTAAAAAAAGAAGGTGTAAAAACGATTCTGTGTTAGAAAGTGCAATGTTTGTGTACAGAAAACTATAAAATATTGTCAAAAGAAGTCTGAGAAGAGAAAAAGTTTTGTGGACCCGAACGTACAAATGCTTGGGACAATTCACATTGCCAGAATCTCCCCCCTTGGCCTCTGTGATTCTCTAATGAGGTTTTACAGTGTCTGTATCTTTGGAAATACTAGGAATGATTGCAGACTTTTATGGGAGGTTTCAATGCAACTTAATCCTTATTTCACTTTTATGACTATATACACACCAGGTGTTTACTGTTCATTATATACAGGGACAGCATGGAATGATTTGGGATACAGGATATGCAGTGACCCTGTACAGCTGGGGCATCTCTGCTCCAGATTATTACTTCCCGATTACTTAGCTGACCACAGCATCTTTCTCTGCTTCTGAGTGTTTTCTATCTTGTCGATTTTAAGTATAGTTAAAAAGTGGTTGCACCATATCATGCAAAGAGGACAGTCATGTGCAAGGGTCACTGTGAACATAGAAGCTCAGCGAGTGAAAGTATAGGAAGAGCTCATTTCAAGACAGGGAAGTGCCTTCAAGTGAGTCCAGGCATGAGCCTTCCTAGGGCATTGCCTGCTCTCTGCTCAGGTTGTCCAGTGAGGCAGGCAGGAGACGCCCAAGCGGATCGGCTAGGGAAATGCTCTGGGAACACTGCATAATCTTACCGCACTGTGCTTGGAGGCATCAGACATGGTCCTGCTTGAGAGCGTGTAATTCTCAGGCTCGGCTTTGGCTTTCCTGACCCCTCTGAACCACTTCCTGTACTGCTCCCGGACCTGCAGGGGCGAAGCACGCTCTGGGTCAGCTCACTGGGCGGGGTGGGGACAGGAAG